TCATCATACAAAAAAATCACACAAGAAAATAGAAAATAACACACAACTAACAAACAGGGAATCACAAGATAGAAGAATAAAGGAAGTCTGTGTTATTTTTGTCTATCAAAAGGTTCCATAGGCTTTCATTCTTAAATGCCAACCATTGCATACAAACCTCTGACAGCATTCAGACAATCCATCTACAGTGCATTGTTTAGCCGGGACATGCTGTCAGTACTTGATTCAAAAGCCTACATAGTAAATTTTACATAGAAAAAAATACCTCCACAATAACAAAAACATTATGTAAACTGTGCCATGGCTCTGCTGGATCTTAATCACTGCATTACACCAGTGAATAAACCACATGAATCATCGCAGCAATAATGGAGTTGGAAGCTGACATGAGCAGCGCTGAGTCAATTGTTGTGCAACACTCACACAGTTCACTGTTAACACCCTTGACATCAAGTCATTAGTGATCTGCAGCGCGAGGACATGACACATGCTTGGCATTTATATCAAACAACACATTTACATTACACCGACTGCTCCTTTTGACATCTGCCCACATTAGAACAGTCCTACAAAGCCGATCTCTCACTGTCTCCCAGCAGCGAAAACCACAGTTCACACATGTTATTATCTCTGCAGCTGATCAGCGGCCATTCACTGGGTCCTGCAGGAGGCAAAGGAGGCCATGGATGTATGTTTGACCGAGCCAGGGAGTGTAAAGCAATGGCTAAATCTCTGTAAGCAGGCCCTGGCACTGCTCCCCATTTGCCTGCCTGCCTGCTGTGTGGGCATGGGCCTGGAGGGGACTAATCCCTTGGCATGGGCACGGGTCACACATGTTGATGTGTATGTCAGTGTTTGCAAGCAGAAGACCCAAGCTGCAGGATGAAGACAAGACCTGGCAACAGATTCAGAAAGCCCTGACTAATAACCTCCAACGCCTTCCATGCTTAACTAGCGGCCCTCACACGAAGTCTCGGATATTCCTCGGAGATGACGGGTAGTGTTTTTGGAGGTCTGCCTCGTACTGTACCGACAGGGACAGCCCTGATCTTACATAACCTCGGTCTGTGGGAGATTGCGCCGGAGTGCGAGGCCTTTGACCCTTACATGCTGCTCGGTTTTTGCTTAAGTGGGCAGCGGTGGGTGCTGTGAAAGTTGACATGTTGTTTCAGCCTTGTCAACCTGTGTGTAGATGGCCATGAGGGTGCGACAGCTTTCCTGTCTGTTATCTTGGCAGCTAAGGTGACCCACAGGAGGCCCGGAGGCAGCAGGAGCAGCTTCTGCTCTGCAGCCTCACGAGTCTCCCAGCACGTGTGTGTGTGTGTGTGTGTGTGTGTGTTTGTGTGTGTGCATGTTGTTTGTAATTTCAAGACAACATTGCACTCAAGTGTTAAAGGATGGTTTGACATTCTAGGAAATATGCTTATTCGAGTTCATGATGAGAATGAAATGAAAAGATGGATACTACTCTGTTTGTTAAAATCTGCCTACCAGCACCTCTAAAGTTCTTTATATTAAAAAAAACCACATTATTTCATGTATTTATTGAATCTTTATTTAACCAGAGTAGATCCCATTTTCATTTAAAATCTCTCCTGCGACCAAGATAGGCAGCAGCACAACATAAAAACTGATTTTAAAACCACATAAAACAGAGGAACAGTAAATACTTTAATATAAAATATATAGAACAAAGTGCAGTACAAGCCATGTATCCAAAATATCAAGTAAAGCACTGACACCCCGACTATTCTGTCTGAAAAATGAAGCCAATGAACTGCCAAAACTGCAGTTCCTCAAACGACCACTTGAGGCTGGCTCCAAGAATGAGTCAATCCTCATAGACCCTTATGTTAAAATGCCCAAATTTACAGCAGGAATTAACATGTTTACAGCCTGGTACAAAAGACATATTTTGTGTACTTTGCTAATTTCTCCATTATTGACATCAATGATCAAAATTATCTTTGCTTAGTTTTCATGGTAAGTACATCTTGTTTTAATGCTTTTAAGCCTATTTGTTGCTAGCGAATATTAGCATTAGCATTCGTATTAGCACAGTTAACTACAGCCGTTAATGCACCGTGCTAACTAAGCTAGCAGCTAGCGTTAGCTCCATCTTCTCCTCCAAATATGATCACTTCTGCCTCCAAAAATCCAACATGGCGACAGCTTGAATGGTAAACTTGAGGCTTCGAAACAGGAGTCCACAAACAAGTGGGTGTCACGGTGGCTATGTCCATTATTTTATACATTCACACAAAGCCCAGCCAAGAATTTAATATTACATATTGCTATAATAACACTTAAGGTTTGTATGAATTAAACAAAAAAGCTTTATAAGTACTGGTAGGCTGGTTTTGTTATCTTCACACAGAGCCCAGCCAGCTCTTTCCCCTTGTTTTCCAGTGTTTATGATATGCTTATTCAAAGTGACAGACATGAGAATCACATCTAACCCTCTGTAACTCCCCAGTAAAGTGAATAGGCATACCTCCCAAAATGTGCAACAATCTTCCTAAAGTTCTTTTAAGTGGAAACATCATCTGCTTTTAATTGAATGGGCCAAAACTATTAAAAGTTCAGTAATGGTTAGTGACTTAATTATTCTGGGAGCAGACTATAAATACAGCTGGGTAATAACTGAGGAGATAGTAAACAGCAGGGCGACAGGGCTTTTCTTAACAACACTGCTGCAAAATTTAATTTTAAAACAAACAACTTAGAATTTCTGTCTTCTGTGTGTTGAGGGAGGAAACAGTATAATAAAAAATGGATAAAAGAGATACCATCTTGGGAATATCTGGCCTGTTTTTGGTGAATTTTCCTCACTTGCGCTCTCATAATAAATCATACCAAAGTATAACGTCTACTCATATATTGATATTTCCATAGAAGGTACATTTTGAAGTCCAGAAAATAAAACAGTCCAATTATTTACTGTAACACAAAGTGACAGCTCCAGGTGACAACAGCTAACACCAAATAATAGGTGAGCAGCGACACCTGAGCTTCAGCGGTCACACGGTAGCCCCCAGGACTCTACCGAGTCCTCAGTTGGCCTGTTGGGTGACACATTTGCCGAGCTGCCAACGATCAAACACTAATTAGGACTGTAGTGCAGGCTAAATCCAGCTCCACTCAGCATTTTAAGCTGACATATACATTTGTGGAAAATTCATGACACATAAAAGTGAAGTGGGGCTCTTTCATACTAATGCTTTTCCGAAGGAGCGGGAGAATTGATTTTTCCCCTTATAATGGTAATTGTTTGCTTTATAGTGATCACTGACTGCAGGACATATTTTACCCACATTTAATTTACTGTTGCCACACTGACAGTAAGGTCCCCATTACATTATTCATTCCTAGTATGTGCAGGTCCATGCTCTGTTTGTGTGAGGCAATTTTCTGAAGCATTATAATCTTGGCAAAAGGAACCTTTAGGCAATGAGGAATTATTTCATGGTTGCAGATTTGGAAAGGAGGGGGGGTGAAGATCTATAACCTCAATTATTCAGCATGATATCAAAATGAGGATAGCAGGTGAGTTGCAGGCCAGTTATTAAAGGGGCTGTGCTATGGACCATAGGTGTAGATTTCGAGGGGGTGGGACCCAGGGCACACAACCTCCTCAGTATATAGAACACCATGATGTATGTCCCCTCCCAATAAAAACATAACAGTAGCAGATGACTTTTGTTTTGACAAAATTAAATTCATGCAGAAAAGGCTCTTATTGGTACATAAAAATTCACTTGAAGGAAATTAAAGGTCCAGTGTGTAGCACGGTGGCGCAGTGGTTAGCATTGTCGCATCGCAGCAAGTGTGTTCCTGGTTTGAACACAGGATGGAGGGTTCAAACCCTGGGGTAGGGGAGCCCTTCTGTGCAAAGTTTGCATGTTCTTCCTGTGTAAGCGTGGGCTTTCTATGGGTACTCCGGCTTCCTCCCACAGTCCAGATGCAGTTTAGGTTAATTGGTGACTCTAAAAACTGTGCGCAGGTGTGATTGTGAGCGTGAACGGTTGCCTGTTACTGAGCGTCATCCCTGAGATGGTATGGCAACCTGTCCAGGGTGTACCCCGCCTCTTGCCCAATGTCAGCTGGGATAGGATAAGTGGTTAGAGAAAATTAATGGATGAATGAATATGTAAGATTTAAGGGGATATTTTGGCTGAAATGGAATATAAGTATTTTCTCAAGTGTACAATCATTTGAAAATAAGAACCCTTGTGTTTTTGTTACCTTTAAATGAGTCATTTATATCCACATAGGTAGCGGGTCCTTGTCCACAGAGATCCCCATGTTGCACCCCCATGTTTCTACAGTATCCCAGAATGGACAAACCAGACATCTGCTCTAGATAGGCCAATTTGCGTTTTTGCTTCCGCCACCATAGTTCGCAGCCCCTCCACAATGACAGTTCAGGAAAACACCAGTTTTTTTGATGGGGAACTGCTTTACTCTTTGCTTTTACCGGTTTAAATCACCAGGTCTATTTGTTTAGACAGGAAGATGCCTCTGTGGATAATTATTCTCCCATTAAAACCCTCCTAAATGTCTAAATCTGAAGTTGTCAGAGAAAAAAAAGGGAACACACACATTAGCAGGCACTGGGATAGCGGCCCATCTGACATGCTAAATAGCATTGGAGAAACACTGATTTTTAATGTGAAAATGCTTTATTCAGTGTTTTTACTGGTTTTATCCACCTGGTCTGTTCGTTATGAGAGGATGAGACCTCTGCGGATAATTTGGCTCCTGGTAAAAACTTCCTAATCAATGAACACTGATGGAATTGTAACCTGGAGAAGTTTCAGCTGGTTGCAATCTACATCTAGGTAACACTGTATCCCCCTAAACCTGACACAATGGACCTTTAAGTGTGTGGCATTCAAAATTTTCTGGCAGAGGACCCCCAAACCACCCCTCTTTCACGTGTGTGTCCCCCAGTGTTGAGAGGAAACCTACGTTGGATCTGGTTTCATAACACAGCATTGGTGGGATGCGCGTGTTTCGTGTTGTTTTGAGCAGCATGATAGGGCTCGCCTCATCGCACATATCCAACCTGTGCGTTTGATCTCACAGGGACGCGCAAAAACTCCAGTGTGATCGATGAGCAGTTGTCCGGAGGTTACAGGGTGGGCAGTGGAGATACAGAGGAAGGAAAGCATGTTTTTCTACTGGCTGTTTGCATATGCAGTGCTCGGGAAAGTTAAAGGGGCCCGGTCTCATTGAAGGGCGCATGGTAGGAGGGCAGCTGGGAGCTGATGGTCTTCTGTCATCAGCACAGGCTTTTCTGCACTGAGGAGGAATTCGTGTGAAGGGGGAGGCGCCCGCGAGAGGCGAGCGGCATGACTGCTGGCCGCATTTAACAATTAACCTTGATGAACACAGATTGGTTTCACTTAACAGGCGCAGGTGCGTGGAGTTTGTGATACGGCGCAGCTGAGCGATTCCACGTTTGTGACTGTACGCTGACGCATTTTATGCCAAACAGAGAAACTACACTGAGAGAGGATATTGCAGCTGATGTGTTTTTTTCTTCACGGGACAGGATACACGTTGCAATGGGAGTCGGTCCGTTACCCGTCCTCTTGCAGAACCCGAACCCAGGAGCATAGCTGATTTGATTGGGAGACCTGTATCGGAATTTGACCGCCGTGTCATTGCCCAATTTGCCAGTCCCAGCAGCTGAACGACATCTTCCTAACGGAGGGTGGAAAAAACTGTCCGCTTCACTACTCTCCATCTGCGCCCTGGACAGCTTGAAATGAGGACCACATCCCGGCTGTGTTCCGTGTGAAGAGGCAAGCGGGGCGGCAGTTTTCTTCGGTCTCTCAAGGACGCAAAAAAAGTGGCCGCCGGCCGAGCTGCGAAGCATGGAGCGGGACGACACCGACACCGCGAGCGCCTCCAGAAAGACAATAATTTCCAAGATATTTAAAGTTCGCAAGAGGAGGGAGATGCTTTTCGTGCAGGTGTGCTTCATCTGCAGTGTCCTCTTCGCGGCGTGGAGCATGTCGGTGCTGCTGACCAAGACAGGTGAGTGGGGGAGAGATGCTCCGGGGCACGGGGAGCTGAGGACGGAGCGGAACGGCTCGGAAATCTGCAGTGAAAACATGCAACTACACGCACATCAGTTAATTGTAATGACAGAGCATCGATCACAGGAACAATTGAACACGCTTTAATGTCAAGGGCACGGGATCAAAGCATTATAATGTTTGCATTTCCAAATGGAGCAGGTCCAAAATGCGTATGCTCTGATTGTGCTTCTACCCATTTACATGAAGTGTGCAGTTTGTATTAAAATGCAGCAAATAACCCAGGATGTGCTCGGTGTTTTAAGCCCACCACACTCAGTAGAAAAAGTCGGCTGCACGTGTTAATTATCAGGCTACAGCATTTCTCTTTCATCCCAGTGTTGGATACATGCGTCTGTTTGTCCGTGTATGCCGCAGTGTGCGCGCCGTAGCAGCGGCACGTTTTTTAATTTGAGAGGCAGGCTCATGATCACTGCACACGCACACCTCATGCTCCACATGCACACGGCGATCAAGTAACCGATCCCAGAACGGGCACAATTTTGGTCCTGGTTTTGTTTGCGTTTTTGTTTGGCGCCAGGCGCGTCGTCGGTCACACTACACTGGAGCTCAGGGATGGTGGTTAATGCTGGCATCATCGCGTCTGGCCCGGGGCTTCACACACCACCGCACACACTGGATCACCTCAACCACACTCGAGCATCATCACGCTTCCAGGTTCCGCATGGCCATCGAGGGATGCTGATTTTTTTTTTTTACGCAGAGGCCAGTGACGATCATTTAAAGAGGGCAGGATAAACACTGGGGTAAATGTTACAATATTCATAGCTTGATGTGCTCGAGGTGTGCGCGGTGCAAACGACTCAGATGGCTGATCATGCGTGATGCGTGTGAATCCCCCCGTGCAGGCACACACACACACACACACACACACACACACACTCCAAACAACATGCCCTCCAAATGCACACATGTCAAAACTCTTACCTCAGGCTCGTGCAAACACTGACACGCAGAGCATCCCACACAGCCTCACACACAGTTATGTAATCTAACGAGCAACCTTGACATTTTGCTGGTGAAGAATGATATCTGACACACACCACTGGGATCAGAGGTTAACTAGACAAAACAGCCCACAGGATAGTGCTGTTCATATCAAGGCAACAATAAACCTGTGCAGTGCCAACATGGAGCATTTTCAGTGCAGGGGAGGCTGCCTTTACATCAGGAATCATTGCATGTGGACATGAAAGAGAAGAGGGCTTGGTGTATTTTTTTTTTCTTCCCCTCAAAGTGCTTCTAGCCCTAAGCCTTTGCCCCAGACCCTGTCGTGGGATCTCTCCATCTGCAACCACTTAGGCCCCGGGGCTGAAAGCAGCTGTAAATTCACCACAACTACTGCCTGACTGTAGATCTCTAACTGATGTATCGGGAGTTTTATTAATTACATTAAAAACAACAAGAGGCTTAAAAGATTATTCTGGAATGATATCATACAACGAGTACAAATCTCTTATCTCCAAAGGCAGGCACTGGGAGCCAAAGTAAACCCCCCCGCTGTCGCTAATGGCTTGCCTTTTTTCATTTAATCAAGTTAGCCTGACCCACACGGTGATCGTCATGTGGGTGTATTTGACAGAAGGCGTTCCTCGTGAGCCTGTCTGACCATCAGCAGCAGCACCGGTGGTGATGGTGGTGGGATGTCAAGGTGACATGCATGAGAAGTGTCTAATAGAGAACCAGAAATCCCCTCTGAACCCACGAGACCCAAAGCTCACCATAATCAGATCTGTCTAATTGAATAGCTGTGGCCCTCTCATCTTTCATCCATCACAACAGGGACACGAATTTGTCACGTCACAGTAAAAACCTGCGCCTCGTGCTCACCACCCATTTGATTGATAGTAGTGTGGGGGAGTGTTGATGTGCTGAGCAGTCCAAATGGATGGGATTTGATGTACTACTCCTGGGTTACATCTCCATAAAGAGGGGTGGGGCACGACATGCTGTCGTGCATGCTGATGGGGCTGCGTGTGTGTGTGACGGAGCTGCGCATGGGGGGACTAGAACAGGTGTTTTTTAAAAGCAGGGCCGGGCTCAGCTCTGACAGGTAGCTGCAGCAGGCTGACGCTGATGGTCGGAGGCTGGGGGTCAGGGGCAGTCAGGAAGGTGAATGCTAGTATGAGGAGAGCGTCTTCACCACACAGTGATTGATGGATGGTTGTCCTTGGTCCATCTCCCTGCTGAGCTGATTGGACAGAGCTGGAGGATGACATTACAGCTGTGCTATTGTTCCTTGCACACTCTTGTCTCCCTCTGCTACTCAGTATAGTCTGATAGAAGTGAATTCACAGCCTTTTTATCCAGTTTGAGCTCATTTCTTTGTTTCTGTTCTGAAGTAGCAAGTAGATGTCGCGTCTCTTTAATGTAACTGAGCTGTCAGAATCCCAGGTTGGCCTCATTGCGTTCTTCTTGTGTTCAGTGTACCAAGCAGTGTAACCAACATAAGATGTGCTTGTCTATAAAGTAACTTTAAAGGGACAGTTCACCCCCAAAACAAATATCCATATTTTTCCTTTTACCTGCCATGCTATTTAACAGTCTGGATTGCCTTCTCTCCAGTATAATGGAACTAAATGGCACTCTGCTTGTGGCGCTCAAAGCACCAAAAATACATTTGAAAAACTCAACAGCAATAGCTCTTTACAGAAGTCATGACCTAGATACTCAAAAAAAACCACAGACCTTGTTGTGAGAAGTTTCATATAGGGTCTCTTTTCTTTCTACCAAACTACACCCGCCAACCATAACACTGTGTAGAAGGAAGCTCTCATTTACCGAGCTACACTGAACTACAGCTACAGCTTAGCTGAAGAAGACGTCAATAATGTTTTACATCTCATGCTGTCATGAGCACAAGCTTCTTGTTCATGAGTAGATGCATGCTTCCTGCTGCGCACTGATATGGGTGGTGGGTGTGGTTCGGTAGAAAGAAAGTAGCCTGAGGATTTTCGGGGGGGGGTTTTTTGTCTTATATAATATTGAACAAATTTCCCCCCTTTTATGAATGATGTTGTGTACTTAATGTAAAATTCCATAGGTTAGGTTTAGAAACACGTTGAAGATGTACTTTTTTAAAATTACTCAAAAGTTCACTCAAACTTTACGTGGCTCCAAACACTGTAGTCGTGATGAGAGTCCTGTCTTTAGTGACCCATCCATTACTTTCTTCGCTCACACCAGTGCATTGGTCATGTGACCGCAGCCAAATTACAGGCACATGATCACATAGGATACATCCAACTTTTGGTGCATTACTTAAACACAGACTACAACTAAAAACTACAGGTTTTAAGATTTCATTTTACTGTTAATTAATAATAACAAGCAGTTTCAGGTAGAATTATTAACCATTATTCCACCACAGTATCTATGCTTTTGCAAGTAATGTATTTGGGTACATCCCTGGTATACACCAATACTGATGTATCTGCAATAAGCTAATGTCATTGGATTTATTGGTGTAGCTCTACTATATTCTATCTAATGTTTGACTGTTAAAAGCAGGAAAATGTTCCTAGATGTCCTCAAATTGTCAGTGTATTGTCTTAATTTCAGAATTCCTCAATTTGTCACCCTTTTAAGTAGTAGAAGTCTCCTTTGTTTTAACCATAACTTCTGCAAAATCATTGCCTGAAGGGGAACTAGCCTCCTGGGACTTAGTGATCATACGGGCACATTCACATGGTCAGTGAGACACTTACAAAAGCTCAAAAGATCATGTGAGTCCACTGCTACAAAGTCTTTAACAACCATTGTGCAACCTGCAGGGAAAAGCCAGACAGAGGTAATCTGAACAACTTGTACATGAATCAAACACAGACCATCTGTCTTCAGGGTTTTCCCCAGTGATGTGCTCATAATTGCGTATAGAGCAATACTGTTTAATCATCCTGCAGCAAGTTGCCGCTCTTGTCAATTCAACGTTGCACTTGTGTTGAGACATTGAGTTCAAACGCCACTTGGCTCGTTGGTATGATTTTACATAATAGATTTGGGACAGCAGTTTTTTATATCCTCATTACGGAGGCTTAAGAGCAGTTTAATGAAAAATGAAACTTGTACGCTCCTCCTCCCACTCTCCCACCCTAAAACATAATGGCATGGCAGCTGCATGTTGATGTGTTATTGCCGCCGCCAGATGAAAATGTCATATCTACAGAAACGAAAACTTTTAAGGGATTAAAGGAAAGCAACCTTGTTTGGATTAATGACCGTGATCATGATCATGGATGTTTTGGGTCATGAGACATACTCTGTGCTTGAGCGGCCATGTTAGTTTTGATTTTTTTTATTTTTTTTTTTACAATGTGCAAAATGGAGTTTCAAGGTTTCACTGTGGCAAAAGAAAAGGGCTTTTAGAACTGTTTCCAAAAGACCTTTAGCGTTAAGCTCCAACATGTGCTGCAAACTGGCATACTCAGTGACATGCTTATTTACTGTATGTTGAATGTATGATAAGCAGAGGTGTTATGTTTTCTGGTGCAGGCCATGGCATGATCGTGGAGGGACATCCGGACCATGAACACTGGGGAAGACGGCTAATGGCTGCAGTACCAGACAACGAAACGGAGCCGAAGAACTGTTCAGAGCCAGGTATGCTGTGAGATTAAAGCTGCACTAGTTATCTTTTTTCAATGGATTGTTTGTAATGTGAAAGAAGGCGCTAATAAGGATGGACCAACAGAGAAATATCAATCGACTCTGCAGTTTTCCTCAGCTTCACAGACCATTTTATCCTCTTTGAGTTTGTTGTTTTGGTCTCCTCCTTGCAATGTTTTTTCCCAGCAAAAACCCCCTGAAAGACCACCATATACTACCTGCCAAGCACCAAACAGCAGACAAACAAAGTAAGGGCCTATCTGCTCAATGTGGTGGAGCATGTCGAAGCTGAAGAACCAGATAGTTCCCTCAGGAAACAAATAAAAAAGCCAAAAGAAGAGTGAATATTTAAATTACAATCATCAGGTGGATAAAAACATGACTGCAAATGCATGTTAATGTTGCTCCATGTCAGTTGGATGTACAACTGTTTATGAACATGTTTGCCATAACAACATTAAGAGTGTCAATAGGTGTGCCACAATTCCAGAGATTGAGTTATAGATACCAATGCCAGGGAGATACGATGAGTCTTGATACCCAGTTCGATACCACAGTAAAAAAGAAACATAACAATGAATCACATGTACTTAAAGATACAGTCCTTTTATTATAAACATTTAAATTAAATTATAGATCTGCCGGTCTATATGGGTCCTTGAGATTTTGTGGTCGAGGAAACATTAATATATAGTCTTTAGTATATTAGCATGTGTATTTCTACTCTGTTGTTGTGCGTGTAAGATATGATGGTTGGTCTTTGTGGTAGGTTATTTGTCCCGCCCCTACTCTAGTATGACTAGACGGCTGGATGGCATTGAAAAGTGCAGCTCTTAGCACAGAACAGATACTTAGTGTCTTGTCATGTTGCTAGCATTTGTAGCATAGTATAAATATGCAGTGCTCCCATTACAAAGAATTAACAAAATACACTGGCCTCAGGAGAATATGCTTTTCTTGTGTTGCCATTGTCCACTTCTTCCCCTGGCATTTAACGGCAGATCATAACAGTTGCTGCTCTGTCAGGTCTAGAAGAACTACATGCCTGGTACCTTTGGTAGCTGCTGGAGAAAAATGTATCATCATGTTTTCAGAATTTTGGCATCGACTTTGTACCAAAGTATCGGTTGTTGTGACATCCCTAGGTGTCAGCTCTATCAACAGCTTGTTCCGTTGCCCCCAAGCAGGCAAAAAAAAATCAATTAATACTGTTTTGCATGAATAATTTTCCTCCAATGATATAATGAAGTTCTCCTTTATTGTGTCAAAATTTGAGACAAACAACACCAGAACAATTGAAGTCTTTATCAAGACACTTAGAGCTAGGAAATTCCCTTATGTGCAATCATAATTTATACTCTTGTATGATTTGATCCACAAATTAATGCACAGAGCATGACTAATTCAGTCAGAATATCATTGAATATGCAGAAAACTATGGATGAACTCTGTTTAAGGGAACACATTGTTCTAAGAAGAATGATACATCATTAAAAATGTAGGAAAACTCAAAAGTGGCACTCAAGTTTTTAAGTTGACGTGCTGCTTTAATTCACCTTGTCGGACCTCTATTGTTCTGACTCAGTTTAGATCACTTGTGCTGCAATAAGCACTGAAAGGGCTATTAAAAGGGTCAGATATTGATTGTGTTACAGCATCTTTGGTACTCTTAAAGGAAGCAGCATTCTCTATAATTAGTTATACTGGGCTCTATGCTGATGGTTCCTTTGACACTGCTGACATCTGCCTCAGGCTACAAAATAAAAGATATGTTTTTCATGATATTATTGATTGAAATGTACCGGAAGCATTGGCAAGAGATCTGTTTGTCTTAGTTTGTCAGTTCCATATCATTTGAATTGCCTCAGCCTTTAACAAACATGGTTCATCTGAGCTTCATGTGATCCTGCATGACTCAGAGTGGAAAACATGACATTAAAGCTGTTAGAGGTTAGAGGTTTAGCATCATTAAGCAATTTCATGCTGCAGATACAGTATGTTCTCCTTGTAATTGACGATACAGGATGTAGGGGCTATACCTGCTCGTACAACTCCTCTAAATCTAAGTTGAAGTGTAAATGTATAAAGGAGACCATGTCACAGCGTAAAAGGAAGGGGTGAGAGGCTTGTGCTCATGATAGCATGAAATGTAAACATTAATGGTGTCCTCTTTACCTGAGCTGTAACCATAACCTGTATAATATAATGGATATAGCCACCGTTATGTCATCCATTTTTGGAGCCAGAAGTGACCATATTTGGACGAGTGGGTAGCGATAACCCTAACGCTAGCTGCTAGCTTAGTTAGCATGGTGCATTTACAACCATTATAGCTGTGATAATGCTAATTTTTGCAAAAGACTGGCTTAAAACTATGTATTTATAATGTTACTTACCCACAAAAACTGAACATCCCACTCTTTACAGGGTCTTGAATTACAACCAAAAGCTGAATGAGACATTTTTGGCAACCAAAACATTACAATTAGGCCTGACAACACACTGAAATAGCGACAGCTAAGGCTACACCTATACTCTGAATCTGGAGTTAAGTCATGGTTACGTTACCTAACTAAAGCCTAACTTTTTTTTTGTTGTTCTAGGCTGTAAATGTGTTTATTTCTACTCTGAAGTTGGGCAGTTTTTGGCATGCCCATGTTGGCTTCATTTTTAAGCCCTGGAGGCTGCTGCTTGGCTCTAATGTTTGCTAGCTCAGTGGTGCTAGGTGAGCTAGCAGTGGATGTATGCTATGGGTATGGGTTCGGTGGAGGGAAAATAGTTCACTCATGACTTCCTACGTGAATTATCTTAAGTAACCTAGTCTCGATATCTGGAAAGAGACATTGCTGTTGAGTTTTTCAAGCGCATTTTTTGGGGGTGTTTAGCACCACAAGCCAAGTGCCATCAAGTTCCATCATATTCAAGAGAAGGCAGACATTTCTACAGCAGATATATCCAACACTCTGCAACTCACACCAAAACAATCTAGATATAATAGGTAAGAAGAAAAATCTGTATTTTCTGTCCCTGTAAGCCATGAGAATAATTATTTTTTGCTAAATGAGATGCAACTCAATATTGGGGTTGTATGTTTGTTTAGCTCATGGAGGATGACACCAGGGGGCAGACAATTTAGGAAGTAATTTCAGAATTTACTGAAGGTTTCTTTTCTGCATCATCACATGTGACCCAGTAAGTACTAACTGGCTTTTACTTCATTACTGGTCACAGCAGGCAGACACCCCTCAGGGATTAGTGAATCATTGGTGCTATAACCTGCTTTTTTACATATAAACAAGCAAAACAAACATTTTCACACCACTGACTTTCAAAGTGTTCACACATAAATGGTCACAATACTGGAATAGTTCTGAGTCACAGTGGGGTCCCATTGAAATGAGCGCCAAATGACAAGATTATGTGCTAAATTTTCCTCCTAATCCTCCAGGATTACCTTTTTTTCCCCCATTCAAATGTCTTCCGCACCGGAGGCACCAGACTGTACTTCACATTCCACGGATTTCTCCTCGGCTCCAGTCCTCCTTCCTCTGATCACGCCACTGCTTTGCGTCGTCACTGTGAGCTGATCATATGACTTCTTTGTTCTTGGGCCTTGGTCTCTTGAATAATCCTGTCATAGATGCAGATCTGAGGCACCTCAGCTGACCGGCTGACCTTTTCAGTTGTGGGGAGTATAAGTGGCTGTGATTGTAGCTGTGCATGACTATGATGTAGATGCAACGTGTTCATTGTTGCTTTTGCCATATACTACACCGCAAAAACAGCACTTTAACAAATAATTTGGACCTTTTTTTTTAGCTTAAAGGTCAAGTGTGTAGGATTTAAGGGGCTATATTGGCAGAAATAGAATATAAGAAGCGTGTTTTCTTTAGTGTATAATCGCCTAAAAATAATAACATTTGTGTTTTCTTTACCTAGGAATGAGCCATGTGTATCTACACAGGGAGTAGGTCCGCCATGTTGCACCACTGTGTTTCTACAGTAGCCCAAAACAGAACCACTTGCATTTTCATGTCAGCCACCAGAGCATTGAAATAACACGAATTTGTGATGTGAAACTGCTTTTTTAAGTGTTTTTAGTGATGTAAATCACCTGCGTCGTATGTTTTGGAGAGGAGGAAACCTTTGTGAGTAATTCTGCTCATGGTAAAAACCTCGGGAACAGTGAACACTGAAGGAATCCTAACTGTGTGAGTTCATGCTTGGCACTTGGAAGAAGTTTCAGCTGGTTGCAATCTGCAGTCCTCGCTGCTAGATGCCACTAAATCCTACACACTGTTCCCTGAAAATGGGGAAACAAAATCTGTCAGTGGAGTTTGAAATATTGATGGATCAGGGTCTGTTTTTTGAAACAGGATGAGTCAAATCACTGCAAATATATCAAGAAAATGGCACTTAGTCTCAAAACAAGTTGATCTGTTTTTGGTAAGATAAAATCACACAATAAGCTTTCTTCATGACATGATTCATGGACATAATTTCAGAGTCTTACTGTTATAAGTTTTGGCTGTTTTGACTGTGGGTCACGCCAGCTCTGCATTCACCAACTGCACAATGTATATGTAAATAAGGCTGTCTGAGTCATGAGTCTTTAAATCTCTCCTAAAAAAAATACTAAAAAGTATATTCTGATTTTATTGGAGCTGTTTTTTATCGCTATGTTATTGTCTTATCTTATTGACAATTTTTTAGATTTTAGTTTGTTTCATTCCTTTTGTGTTTTAAAATGTTTTAATTTTTTCGTAAAGCACTTCGTAACTGTGTTTTGAAAGGTGCTATAGTGCTATTATTATTGGAGATTTAAGAAACACGATTCCAGCAAATTGGAGAATAGCAGTGCCAGTTTTCTAAAAAAAAAAAATTCAGTGTTACATAAATCATTTGACACGCTTGTCTCTGAGTCTGACCGAGAGTCTGACTGACTACAGTTAACTCATTCATGTTGCACTTGTCAGGGCGCATTATTGCTAATG